TTCAACGCATGTTTGATACTTGCGGTGTAGCATTTGAGTCTTATTGACTTGAGAATCAAGCCTAACCGATACGACTTTGGATGCGTACCCAATCATGGTGTATCGCTAATCAGCAGCTATTTGCTCCCTCCAAGGAGTAGGAACGAATAGGCCTGAGGTGATTGGTCATGTTAGGGTGTCATCAAAGCAAAAAAGTACATGTTACATAGCATAGCAATGATGCATACTTACAACCTGTTTTAAGAAAACAGCTACGCGGATCGATCAAAGAGCAAAGGAATCAATAAAAACACTTTTATTTTGGCATGTACCATTTGTACATTTGATTACCTTCTTCGGAACTAAAGATAGCAGCGGTCAAACGGTTTTTGTTGGTCTCTTGCCCTTGACTTATCTGGTCAAATGTTTGTAAGCTTTTTACCATTAATGTTTCGGACGCAAAAGTTTTGATAAAACCTACGCATTTTCTAAACAGTAGAATCACCACAAATTCGTCCCTACACCTAGCAAGACTAGCGATTTCTTAGGCGGATGTGAAAGACTGCTTAAGTAATTTTCTTTACAGATAGAGTTGGGATAGAGAACAGACTGACTCACACAACAACTGTCTCATCAAGCAGTCCTTGGTTGAAGACTATTTGCCAAGGACTTTGATCTTAGAAAGCACATATTTTGCTGTTGATACAATGATGATTTATTTTACTTATAAGGGAAGCTACCTAACTTAGTTTAGCCTTTTGGTGAGTGACACATATTCCGAATCAGCTTCAAACGCTGATTCCAAATATGCTATTCATAGCTGCGGCACACCATTCCGAAGTGGGTTATGGGCTTTTGACTGCGCGAAATTGGCATACCACTGAATATGGGAAGACTGCCTATAGGTAAAAATCTTCTACAAGAATAGATGTTTGAATATTGCAGTAACATCAAATCCAATCTTTTCTCACTAAAAAGAAACTTACGCAAATGTATTAGCACTCAAATGATGATCCCATGAGGCCAGTAAGTTGATTAGGCTGGGTTTATACTGATTCCCATGTTCCGGAACTGTTCCCGTTCTCGCACTGTGCTGGAACTGTTCCGGAATTGTGCTGCATGCGCTGCAACCGCCGCGCACGCGTTTTGAACGGCAGGAGTTGGAAAATTTTGAATTTTCAACGGTTTTTCTTTCAGGTTCCTCTCATTTTGGCCTTATTCCTTTACCCCGCTTCTTCTTGTGACGAGAAAAGATGTCAACTTAAAGCGTGATTGAGAAATGAAAGTTGTTCTTCTTTACTTATTCGGAGCATGCACATGAAAAAGAACAGCGTTCTCTCTTCAACTCCGCTTCAAGTTCCCAGCTTTCTCATCACGAGGATAAGCGGGATAGAGGAGAGAACGGAGGTTCAACGATATGGAAAAAGGAAAGTGGCTGAGAATGCTCAAAAACGAAGTTCATCAGAAAGCAGGAGCAAAGTTCCCATTTACGCATTTTCAGAATGTTCGCATGTCCTACTTCGAGACAGATGCCTGCGGAAACTATGCAGCGGCTTCCTGAAACAAATGGAATAGGTCTGAGCAAAAAGAAAACGAAGCGAGATTGGACGAGCACAAGAAGTCGCATAAGCAGAGCAGAAATGCGCTCATTCTTCAACCTCGCTTCGAGTTCGAAATTCTGCTGAGCAAGAAGGAAAGCGAGGTAGAGGAATAAGGCCAAATGAGAGGAATCTGGAAGAAAAACCGTTGGAAACGCTCAAAATTCTCCAACTTCTGCCGTTCAAAACGCGTGCGGGCGCTTGCAGCGGATGCAGCAGAGTTTAGGAACACTTCCAGCACAGTGCGGGAACTTTCTTAACATGAGAATCAGTATGAACCCAGCCTTAGTATGCGAATCGTGAGCAGAAAAGTCAATAACTCGCTCCGATCGATGCTCCGCAGCTAGGGAAAAGATATTTGGAATAGCGTTCAAAGCTGATTTAAAACGTATAAATCTCTTTTCATAAGGCCAAGCTAAGTTAGATATTCTCCCTTGTTAGCTTTGCGAACAAACGCGCACTAGTTAATCTGCAATCATATTACAAATCAACATAAAATTCTTTTCTGTACACGTACTTCACGCTATGAATTGTGGCATGTGTCTTGAAAGAACATCAACACATTTTTCAGAACCGCAATGTCAAATCGCTTTTGTATGCAAAGAACACCACTTATACTGCAAACATATGTCAAAAAGCATAAACCTTTCGCTACACGGCAATTGTAAGCCAAGAATCACAGAACTGCGTGCAAAGACTCACAAGTTCACTGTGTTTAGCGCACTTCGGAAGCGTAAACCATGCGCGCATTGGTCATGAGGCTCACTTTGCGCAGCCATGTGTAGATTTAAGTACGTGTTCACGTTAGCTGGCCGCGGGTTCAGACATTAGTAGAAGAAGTGTCCTTGGCTAGGCGTGACAAAAACGGGAAGGAAGAACCAACAAGTGTCCCAGCATCGTCCAGGCAAGTGTGGATCCGCCTTTGCTGCACCACTTTTAATGCAGTTTTTTTTGCGTAGAGGATGACTTATCAAATGGGACTTGGGCTGCCTAAGAATCTGGGTCTCTAGCCTAATTTCACAAGCCACAGCCTTTAAAGGCAGTGTCCGGGCAAAAACTCGATTTTGAGATTGTGTGCTTATACGGGCCTATTCGCCATGCTGAATCCAAAAATCCACATTGGAAAGCGCGAAAACGGCGAAAAAGGGCTCTAACACAGGAGGGAAATCAGCAGTAGGCGGGGCTTTCTCCAGTGCGATTTCACGCTCCCAGCTCCCGGAGCGATTTTCTCGATTCCGCTAGCCGTCCTAACATCGCTACCGGTCAAGTGTGAATGATTGACTTGAAACCGGAAGCGAGAAGGTCGCTCCGGAAGCCGGGAACGTAAATTCGCAGTGGGGAGGACCCCGCCCACCTGCTCATTTCCCTCCTGTGTTAGAGCCGTTTTTCGCCATTTTCGCGCTCTACAATGTGCATCTTCGGATTCAGCGTAGCGAATAGGCCCAAGTAAGCACAAGATCTCAAAGTCGAGTTTTTGCCCGGACACTGCCTTTAAGGAAGAAAATTGTGCGTTTTATATTCGTAAAATGGTGCTTACGAAGAGCACCTTTTTACGAATATAAAACGAATACGAATACAATACGAATGCAAGAACCCTTATCAGCATTGCTTACTCAAATTTAATGATACAACTTGCGTTTTGCGTACACAATTTCTTTGCTTCATGATATAATAGCTCATCACTACGTCTACAGAGGCGTTCGGCATACAAAATATCAAAATGGAGTCATTCTTTCAAATATTTGCATTTTGCTGGACTGGCTATTTCGACTTTTGACTATTCCCTTATTAAAGCACAAGTGACAGAAGCAGTGGAACTCTGAACAGCATTTGCCTTCAGTTATGGAACAGAATCGTAACTTATGATAACGGGCTAAAGGTTGTTTACGTTTGTGTGCGTGTGTCTGAATCTTTCGTAACAGAATTCATGGAGCGAGCTACAGTCAAGATATTGAGCCGATTTTGGCATAGAGTATGCTTCCAGCATGTAAACACTATGCAAAGGGGGGAGCCGATTCGATAAATGAGCCCACAAAATCCGCCTCATACGGGTCCACCCGGCTTTCAAACCGCTATACTGAGATGTTTTCGGACTTTTGCAGAGTTTTGGATTTGTTTGAAAAGTAGATCTCCAAGTCATAAACTCTAGCCCAAAAAATAATCAGAAAATCTTTTTTTGAGAAAACAGCGCCAAAGAAGAATGATTGCGCTGATTGTCGATGTCAAGGTTTTACCTGAGAAACTGACAAATTTTCTGCTCAGGGGTGCAGCTCACGCTGTTCAGTGCACTTCTGTCAACTGTCAAGCCAAAATCTATTGAAAAAAAAATTTCAAATTTATCTTTGTTCTTTCGTAGAAATACTCTTCTGTTCCTAAAGTGACCGATCTCACTGGGAAAGTTTTGGAATTAGTAATTGTGTGCAGCTCATTTGTGATGGTTAGCAATGTGCGGTGAGTATTGGAAATGTAGTATAGCCGGTATTGTGCGGGCATGGGGAAGGTATAAGCAAGAGGAGATCATTGCGAGCCTCGTTACGCACTGGTTTATTACATCCAGTGAGTCACCTCCGCTTCGCGGAAGTTCGCACTGGCTCTGTTATCCGTATGCCTTTCTCATGCTCCCATTATGATAGCTTTGAAACTTACAGCGCGAAGCTGTACATCACAAATGAATTGTAAACAGGTGTTCATTTAAAGCATCTCCGTATAAGACAGGTAATTTTGAGAAAGAAAACTATTTTGCCAGGGAACAAATGCGAATTTGAATAGATTACTAAATTTTTTGGCTTGATAATCGTCATAAAATAATCATTTTGGGCTACATTTCCGTGAAAAAATCGTTTCATTTTTTTAGGTAAAACCTTGCCAAATCGGCTTTTCACGCGATTACTAGTTTTTGGCGCTGTTTTCGCAAAAAAAGTAAAGTTTTTGAACACTATTTGAGCGACAATTTTTGGCGCGCAGAACTCGTCAGGCAAATCATGACTTTGCAAAAAGTTGTATTTGTGACTAGTTTTGCGCGCCAGAACGTGGACCCATTTGACGAGCAAATATTGGGGGACCCGCTTATCGAACCGGCTCGTCCTTGTGCATGGTGGGCCTACACGCACGGCACGTTGTGCAAAATTGTAGCTCGATAGCTTGGCTGCAGCTTCTTCTATAAATTTCGCACACAGAAACACACACACACACACACACACACACACACACACACACACACACACACACACACACACACACACACACACACACACACACACACACACACACACACACACAAAAGACAGACGCTTAGCGTTTTATTTAAATCATGATCTTTACTATCAAATGGACATAGCAATGAAAAGCAAACAAAGCTATTCCTTTCTCTTGTTCGACCTTCTCTGTATTTTTGGTTCAGTCTAAGAAATATGTGAGTTTCAGATGCATTCCGATCACTTTGTGGATCCCAAGAGAGAACGAGCTTATCTGAAATGGGCCGACATTCCGTGCAACTTATATTTGAGGTCGTATGTATGCAAAAAGACGCTTGAATGAGGAAGAACATGCATTCAATCTTGGTGCAACAATATCTGCGATGTTTCGCATATTCTCATTGATTAAAGACGTTTTTCATGCTACAATAAGCAAGTCTTCATTCTCCGACTAAAGGACCGGGCACATGACGCGATTTCGTCGTTGCAACTTCCGGTCGTCGCGATCTGCTGAAGTAGCAAAGATATCGCGACCACTGAATCGCTGGTTACTTGTTCATGGGCACATCTGCGCGATTCTGCATCTGCACGCCTCAGCACGCAATATTCGTCGCCAAATTGCTCTCCAAACTGTGTAAACTGTAATTTTCTGAAGTGATATGTACTCTAACTTAATCCATACCAATGAAATTTCTCTTCCATACAGCCACATCCTGTTTCAAAATCAATGACGAGTTGTTGCAAAAATAATGTCCATTTTTCTAGACGTGATTTCCAAACAACTTATCTCCTCCGGACTTTCTTTTTCGACAGAGATTCTGCATATCATTGGAAAGCTTTCTCTATGTACTTCTTACAATGTAAAGTTAAGGTTTCTATCTCATTTGCGAGAGTTTCACCAGCATTTCGCACAGCTGCATTCAAAACCGAAATTTCGTTGCCTTAACTTCTTTGGCCACAATTCAAGCGCAAATGCACCAATTCTTCCGAAAACATAGCTACTGTATAGGATGAATATTGCCTATATTGCAAGTTTGAATAAGTTTTTCGAATATACCTGAACTGAGAAATCGATGCTTCAAAAAAGATACTCGCCGCCTAGAACACTATGGATTCAAAATTTTTTCTGATTAGTGCAATCGCCTAAACCTCGCTGATTTCTGCAGGCTTAAGGTCAGGACATCTTATCTACAATTTATGCAGGAAAACTTAGCTATTCAGTGAGTGAAAAATCTCAAGTTTTCATAGTTTGGGATTTCCAAGCCTATCACAAGTAGGCTTTAAAAAGTGAACAATTTTGGATCTTTAACTTCCTTTCGCAGGACTCCTTCGTTGAAGTCTTTTCTATACAAACGTATACTACTAGGTTGTGTCTACAAAATAAGCTGATTAGCAAACTTGAAGGAAGTTGTGATCTCTCAGATACGAGGTTTTCAAAAGAAAACCTTTGGTTTTCTGACGCATGGTTATCCTCCCGTTTGCGATATCAGTATAAGGTGCGCGCTAGTTTGCGAAAGGTTCAGTGGTTTTGATGGTCTTGATTGCATTCAAAAATATGGAGACTGAACGAAGTTATAGCCTTTCAAAGTAAAATTTTGCAAAAAGGACATTATTTTTGCAACAACCCAATATATTGTTTAGTGCTCGCGATACCAAAGCTCTGATGATAACTTGCTTTTAAAGCTTGTTTTCCAGAGCTTTGTTTTAGAATTTGCTTTCCAGAGCTTTTTTCCAGTGGTTTGACAAACTAATGATAACGGCGCCCGTGAGATTATTTCGTTCTTGCGGAACTGAAATGAGTGTTCTACGGATCATAATGTAATGAAGGCTACGCCTGTTCAGGTTACGTATTTACATAACTTCAGTGCCCTCCTGTCCTTCTTACTGACTGCAACATTAGTAAGTTTTGTCTTGTCAAAGGCGTATTTATCTCACTATTGTGTTTTTTCAAAGAACAAGGAAAACGGAACTCCAGTTCCTTCGATCGCAAATTGTTTACCGCCGCGGTTCAATTTCCTTGAGAACTTGTAGTTTTGCTTACCAAGCTACTCAGACAATAACTCGGACAAGCGGCGGGCCTCTACCGGGCGGGCGATCATGCCTCCCGCCGCTCGTCCTCTAGAGGCACGCGGGCCGCCCGCTAGAGATATAAAGCGGGCGAGCGGAACACCTTTAGCGGGCGAACGGAGTACCCTTAGCGGGCGAGCGGAGTACTTCCCTCCACTCTCCCGCTAAAAGTACTCCGCTCGTCCGCTCGCATCAAAGCGGACGAGCGGAGTGCCTTTGGCGGGCTAATATCTACTTAGATACTCAGATAACCGCCGGGGGCAGGCGGCCATGCGAATTTTGAGCAAGCGCGCATCGGAAAAACAGTTCGTTGATTTTTTGCGGCCCGCTTGCAGAAATTTGGAAGAAAGTTGGCGAAATTAAAGACGAATGCTTGAAGAACAATCGCGGTTTTTTTATGGATTAGCTGCGGCGCAGTGGCCGCATTCTCGCGGACTTTCCGCGAGAATATGCAAAAATTTCGAGGGCCGCACGGTCCTTTGTGGAGGACCGCGCAACCCCCAGGTACTTTCCGCTGAGAGAAAGTACCTCAAACTTGAGTAATTAAACCAACGGTGACACCTCTGACACACAGAGTCTTACCTGCGCTCGACGTACGCCCGAAAATGTCTTAAAAGAGTCCGAGCGCTTGCTGAAAGTTTGGCCAGCGCTCGCTGAAAGAAATTATTTGCCAAGCGCTTGCAAAAAAATGCTGTATTGCTGCCCTCTGGCAGAATATGCGACCGTAAAGGAAGTGCCGCCCGCTGAAGGTTTGGCCACGCCCCAAAATTCTGCTGATCGCCTGCAGAAAAGAGCGAGTTTGCGGACCGCCTGCCCCCGGCGATTATCTGAGTAATGGCCGGGCAGGCGGTCCGCAAACTCGCGTTTTTCTGCAGGCGGTCAGCAGAATTTTGGGGCATGGCCAAACCTTCAGCGGGCGGCACTTCCTTTACTGTCTAACGTTCTGCCGGCGGGCAGCAACACAGAATTTTCTGCAGGCGCTTGTCAAATAATCTCTTTCAACAAGCGCTGGTCAAATTTTCAGCTAGCGCTCGGAAGGTTTTTAAGCAGTTTCGGGTGTACGCCGAGCAAAGGTGAGACTCTACATGGCAAAGGTGTCACCGATGGTTTAATTACTCAAGTTTGAGGTACTTTCTTTCAGCGGAAAGTACCTGAGGGCTGCGCGGTCCTCCAAAGGACCGTGCGGCCCTAGAAAATGCATAATCTCGCGGAAAGTCCGCGAGAATGCGGCCACTGCGCCGCAGCTAATCTGTAAGGAAACCGCAATTGTTTTCCAAGCATCCGTCTGGAATTTTGCTAAAATTCTTTCAAATATCTGCAAGCGGACCGCAAGAAATCAGCGAAATATTTTTCCGGCACCCGCTTGCCCAAAAATCGCATGACCGCCTGCCCCCGGCGATTATCTGAGTATATGTTGTCCCTCTCTCCCTCTAGAGATATGCCTCTTCTGAAGACTGCACGGAATTGACAGCTTACTGTCATTGCGTTAATAATCTCTCCTTTCTTTTCCTACAGGCAAATGTGCTAACGCCTAAATTCTTGAGATAGATATGTACAAACAATTATTGTAACGTTTTATAGTTTATTAGAAAAGCTAACCACATGCAAAAGCAAATGCAATGAGCATGCTCAGCGTCATGAATTGAAACAGCACAAGATAATAAACCGGAACAAAATAAATATCAACGAAATAAACAACAATATCACATTCTCATGAGCGCAAAAAAGGTGCAAAGGTGCAAGCACTCATCTACACATACGCCAAAAATTCGCTGTTTACCAAAAAATCTTCTTCTAGAATCTTCTCAATCTTTTTCTTCCACCTTCCGAGGCATCTTCATCTCCTGGTGCCGCACGCTTCTGTCGCTGAAGCACATAATATAATCACTAAATTGTCTATTTGCTGTAATGTTCTCACGTCGCTAGGTATCCATTTCCCCAAGTGGTAACACGGGGAAATGGATACCTAGCGACGTGAGAACATTACAGCAAGACCGCAGTAAGACCGCACATCTCGCCTAAATTTTATAAACAATATGTAGAATGGTGAAACCGATTCTTAACATACAGCGCCATTTGCAGGCTTTTGAAGAGATGTGGCCGCCAGTCCTTTTGCTGCTCCATTAATTCATCCAAAATTTTCTCTCTTTCTTCATCCGTTTTTGCTAGATTCTTGTGAAACCTTTGATGAATTATTTCGTAGTTCACAACAAGTCTCGATTCCTAAGAGCTCACTTAGAATCCTCAAGATTGACTTCCATGCAGGGTTTTAATTCGTCGTGTCCGAGGCCTAGCATATCTTCTCCAAAATCTAAATATTGGTAATTGTCAAACCGCGCCCCTAATAACTTCTCCTTTTCCTTCCAACACGTCCTCAATTTCTCTGGGGAGGTTTTTCAAAGCCTCATTCCTTCCTCCGCTTTGGTTCATTCTCATGGAAAATTCCTGAATTTTTTGTGGGAGGTCCGTGGTCTAAATGCACTTTGTAGAAAGTATCCTTGCTTGCAAATCTTCCTGAAACTTACTCTTTCCAGCACAAATCGATACAAAGAACAAAGTAGTTGATATGCATTCCCTTTTCTTTTTCTCTCCCAATCCTTAGCTAGTTGCGTTAGACTGAACTAGATTGGTGTCAAGTCAAGTCACTAGATGATTGACATGCTTCAACATGATGTCCCACGAACGCAGTGAATTTTATCCATTGTCGACCACGCAAGTTTCAAAAATTTTCAACATAAATTTCTGATATCTCAATCGAAGATGGCTGCCTTTCAAATGATTCTGATGTTGGCGAAAAGTTTGTAAAGTTGCTTATGAGTAACCATTTCATTTGTATGGGTCTAAAATACAAATACTAAGACAAATTTCCTTGTTAAACATTCTTGTCGTGCACTACCTGCCCCTTTTATTGCCAGTGTGCTGTTTACGCGCAGGCGATTGTACCGTATCAATGTTGGACACATTTTTTTGATTACAATAGATCTACTAGGCTGCTGCTCAGACAATAACTCGGACGAGCGGCGGGCCTCTACCAGGCGGGCGATCATACCTCCCACCGCTCGTCCTTAAAGGCACGCGGGCCGCCCGCTAGAGATATGAAGCGGGCGAGCGGAGTACCCTTAGCGGGCGAGCGGAGTACTTCCCTCCACTCTCCCGCTAAAGGTACTTCGCTCGTCTCGTCCGCTCGCATCAAAGCGAACGAGGAAGTGCCTTTTGCAGGCTAAAATCTATATGTTGTTCCGCTCTCCTTCTAGAGTTCTGCCTCTTCTGAAGACTACACGGATTTGACAGCTTACTGTCATTGCGTTAATAATCTCTTCTTTCTTTACCTATGGGCAGATGTGCTAACGCCTAAATTCTTCACGTGGTTTTTTTAA